TTTTATAAAATATTAAATAAATATAAAAAAAAATTTTGTCTTGATTTAGTAGACATGCTTGTTATCATGTGTTCCAAACATCTCGGCGAGATACTGTGTTCGAGAAGCTAAAAAAATCCCCATGCTTCACTGCCCAGCCACCAAAAAAAAAAAAAAAGGTGCTGCGGAGACGGATCGCGTCTCGAAGAGCCAGATTTCCTTTCGTGAACTGCAGATGATGAAGAGAGCGTCGTTGTGCACGCTTCAATGCGCCAACCAGTTGTCGTTCTCACTTTTCGGACAGCACCCCAGCAGTGAGTGCTCTTGGTGATTCCAATCTCCATCTTCATCTTGGGCCTCTGGCTAGGGTTTCTTTCATGGCCCCCATCCTCCTCCTCCTCCTCCTCCTGTCTTCTGTAAACCCTTGCCTCCCCCTCGATATTCACCCTCAAGACAAATCCTCTCTTCTCCTTTTCCGCTCGTGGCTCCATGACCCCTCCCGCTCCTTGTCCTCCTGGCTCCCTTCTAATCCTAACTGCTCTTCCTGGACTGGCCTTACCTGCCACCCCCTCTCCCGCCGCGTCGTCTCCATCAACCTCACCTCCCTCCACTTGTCCGGCCATTTTCACCCTCGCTTCTGCCTCCTCCCTTCTCTCACATCCCTCATTTTGTCGCGCAATCACTTCTCTTCCCCTCTCCCCCCTGCTTCGGCTCCTTCAGTTCTCTCTCCACCCTTGATCTCTCTCACAATCAATTCCGCGGCGCCATCCCTCCCTCCTTCCTCCGCCTTTCCCGCCTTTCTCATCTTATCTTGCACGGCAATCCCTCTCTGGGCGGTCCCCTCCCTCTGTGGATTGGCAACTTCTCTGCTTATTTGCAAACCCTTGATTTGGGTTTCAACTCCTTTCGCGGACCGCTTCCGCTCTCCCTTCTTCTCCTCAAATCCCTCCGCTATTTGAATCTCGAAAACAATCGTCTCTTCGGCACCCTCCCTGATTTTTACCAGCCTTTGGTCTTTCTCAATCTTGCTTCCAATCGCTTTTCAGGTACTTTGCCCTGCTTTGCTGCTTCTGGTGCCTCTCTCGCCGTTTTAAATTTGTCCAACAATTCTATTGTGGGTGGCCTGCCTACCTGTATTGCTTCCTTACAAGCACTCACTCATCTAAACTTATCATTTAACCACTTGACGTACAAAGTATCTCCTAGGCTTGTGTTCACCCAGAAGCTCCTCGTTTTGGACTTGAGCCATAATGACATCTCTGGTCCTATTCCGAGTAAGCTCGCGGACACCACAGACAAAGTGGGCATTTTTCTTCTTGACCTTTCTCACAATCAATTCTCTGGTGAAATTCCGCTGAAAATTACGGAACTGAAGAGCTTGCAGGCTTTGTTCCTCTCCCACAATCATCTTTCTGGGGAAATTCCTGCTCGAATTGGAAATTTGACTTACCTTCAAGTCATTGATCTCTCGCACAACTCTTTGTCTGGTACCATTCCGTTAAATATCGTTGGCTGCTTTCAGCTGCTTGCCTTAATACTTAACAACAACAACCTCTCTGGTGCAATTCAACCCGAATTTGATGCATTGGATAGCTTGAAGATATTGGATATAAGCAACAATGGGTTTTCTGGGGAGATTCCACTCACTCTGGCGGGCTGCAAATCTCTCGAGATTGTAGATTTTAGTTCCAACTATCTTTCTGGATCCTTGAATGATGCAATAACCAAATGGACGAACCTCAGGTATCTTTCTCTGGCTCAAAATAAATTCAGTGGAAATCTGCCCAGTTGGTTGTTCACCTTCGAAGAAATAGAAATGTTGGATTTCTCTGGGAACAAATTTTCCGGCTTCATCCCTGATATTAATTTTAAGGGTGGCTTATTGTTTAACAAGATGGGCATCCCCGTTAGGGAGCCATTTGGAGCATCAAGAAATGTGCAATTGAAAATTTCTGTAGTTGTCGCTGATAGCAATCAATCCAGCTTTAAATATATCCTGTCCTCAGTAGTGGGGATTGATCTATCCACAATTTGCTTCGCGGGGAGATTCCCAAGGGTCTGTTTGGACTAGCTGCCTTAGAATATCTGAATTTGTCGTGCAACTTTCTTGATGGACAGGTCCCAAGTTTGCAGAAAATGCAGAGTTTAAGAGCCTTGGATTTGTCACATAATTCCCTGTCTGGTCAGATTCCAGGAAATATTTCCAGTCTTCCAGATCTGACCCTCTTGAATTTTTCTTTTAACTGTTTTTCTGGGTATGTACCCCGGAAGCAGGGGTATGGGAAGTTTCCCGGTGCATTTGCTGGAAACCCAGATTTATGCTTGGAATCATCCAGCGGAAGATGTGATAAAGCAAGAAATGCATCAATCAAAGGGAAGTCTTTTAAGGAGGATATGATGGAAGGACCAATATCTGTGGGGATTTTCTTTATAAGTGCCTTTGTTAGTTTTGATTTTGGTGTTGTTGCTCTCTTCTGTTCACCTCGGGCAAGAAATTACATCCTCCAGACCAAAGTTTGATGTAATGCCCGTGATGATAACAAATCTTCACCTGTAAATTCCCTCTCTGTTCTTTCTTTCAATAATGAAAATTTAAAGTTTTTTTTAAATATGTTTATTTATTTTATGTAATTATTTTTTTTAATTTTTTACATGACAACAATAATTTAAATTTGAACTATCAGCTTTTACCGTACTCGAATTGATTTGTATTTTCATTTTCTTGTATCCTTTAAAGAATTATAATTTGGATTTTAAATGCTGTGTTATGTTTGTATTTACTAATTTATCCAGTCAACATTCAAATATCTTTTTTTAGATGATGATGGTTAAGATGAGTGAAATTTTAATTTTCGTTATCAGATTATAGAACCGTGGTTAAATTTTGTAATGTGGACTTTTTTTTTCTTCTAACATTTATTTATGGTGTTCTAGAATTGCATTGTGCAAGAAGTACTTCCTCCCATTGAAACGAGCTAGATTTGCATTGCATATGTACTTGCTAGTTTCTTTTTTTCTTTTTTTTTAAACCAGACTACTTGCTGGCTCTCTTTTTTTTCCCACCTTAACCAGAGTACTTGCTAGCTTTAGCGTACAGATATTTTGGCCCAGAATGATCAGATATCTTGATCCTATTTAGAAACTGAAGTGGATTGTCAGTAGACGCGCCCTCGTGCGTGAGCTTCTTGTTAACATAGACGGAATGATCAGGGATCTTGAATCTGTACAGTAACGTTGGTTTTTTTTTTTTTTAAAAAAAAAAAAGCTACGGTAACCGACCTTTTCACCCCACATGAAAAATTCCCCGCGGTTGGCAGTGTTCTTGTCATCTTTACGTGATTTGATGTGAAGTGATATTTTCACCTTCATGGTTTCGGCAGCCGGTTGCCAGGCTTATTAAAAAAAAGAAAACAAAATCATGAAATATCAGAATCCCTGCTCTCTGGAGGTGGGAGGTACGATTGTTGTCAAGAGAGACCGCGGGATGATGCCAGACTCTCGATCTGTGCATTCGGTGGATTCAGTGAAACAGAGAATCCATAATCATGACTTATGACGCTCATCGATCAAACTGCTATGAATTCTTTACAACAGAAAAGCCATAATCAATGTTCCGTCTCACCCACCTTTTCTGCCCGATGTACCAAATTCACATCAGGTCCGTCCATAAGTCTCATGTGCTTCGTGTAGGTCAGAGCCAACCCGTTCTTAATATTATTGGTTATATGTAACAGCATGTCCTTTCCCGTGACCACTCCAACACGTTGACCGGCTGCCCCAATTCAATATGTTGAATTAAATTAAATAATTGCCCATCAAAAAGGCTGTCCATGGCTTGCTCATCCCCCAGTCATCTACTGAGAACTGTCTGTACTATGCTCTATCATCGCCATTCTCACGGCTCCATTTCGACATTACTGACGCCCTATGTTCTCCATTCTACCACCGTAGCAGCAAGTCGTCCTGTCCTAATATTTGATAGGACCGTCCAGGCTGCCAGACGCAAACTGCCACCTCAGAAGGGAAAAAGAAAATGAGACTATTGTATGAACTAATAGAGACGGTAATAAAACAACGTGTATTTTGCTCCTAAATTCCAATAATCCGACTAGCGAAAAGGTAGCTTTTCATGCCAGTCCTTTTGTTTTTGCATTTACGCCAGGAGAATCAAACTCCATAGTGTAACAACTTCGAAAGATCCCATCCGTAGTTATTTAAGCCCACACACACACACACACCCCCCCAAAAAAATAAAAAAAACTAACCTGTTGGACTATTGGATTTGGTGATGTGGTAAAGTCATGCGTCATTCCTTCCCAGACAATCTTACCCTTGTGTAAAAATAATAACCTGTATTCACGCAGTGACTTGTTAGGAAGAGGGTGCGTCAAGACCAGGCTGAGCAAGAAACAGTTTAAGTAAAGGACCTGCAAACTTTACCTGTCAATAGCTCTTTTAATGGTACTATGTTGGTGGGTGACAACTACATAAGATGCAATCTTCCCAGGCTTTCCAAGAGCGTCACGTCCTTTTATGTGAACAGAGCGGATCAGATCCTCAACTACTGTAGAAGCTATGGGATCCAGTCCCGCAGTTGGTTCATCATACAAAAGCACCTGTACAGTATTGCAGACAAGTCATTTACCAGGGGGAGGGAAGGGGACTTTGCAGTTAAATTTACAATATATAATAAGCAGTAAGAGCAGCAGCAGTAACTAGGAAACTCAGCATCTTCATTGTGACCGTAGACACCATTGACATTCGTCATGCCAAAACTAACAGCAAGAACAACAGGCGGTTCAAGGAAGACAATTTGGTCAAGGGAAGAAGCGGAAAGAGAAGGGGATTGCATGGAATTATCATCCAAATCGTCTAATGTAGTAAAAGCGCAGGGTTATTAAGCCTCCAACAACAAGCATAGGAATACAGTTTGTTAAATTCCTGTTTCAATTGTTAGAAAACTTGGGCAACAGGCTCAAATTTTTTTTCATTGAAAAAAAAAAAAACCCTTCCAATGAAATTCATGATATAAGAATTAAACTTGTTCCCAGGTGCATTTGCCTTCTTCATTTTCTGCAGTGATCGAGGGAGTATTTCCCATGAGTTTGGATGATGTACTATGTTGGCTTAATGAAAGTAATTGTGTTTCATTCTCCATACCAGTAGCCTCTTGTATTCCCTGTGCTATTCTGGCAATATTATATCGGGCTAATATTATACTTTAAGGGTATGTTTGGTTTAATTCTGTAAAGCTTAATTCCTGTTAATTGTGATTCCACTCCCACATAAGGTCCATTCGGTTTGTCTATTTTAGTCTGAATGCTGATTCTCGTGGCAAAGCCTATTACCACTTTTCATGGAATAAGGACTCTTCAAAAAAACCTATGAATTCTCATTCCTAGTTGTCTGAATCAACATGTTAACAACTTTACCCTCTTCTCTCTTTCTCTTCCACTCTCCCTTTTGACTTCCTTAGTCTTCTCCCTTTGTCAGTCCTCTCGTCCACAATCAGCAGCGTTACCGTCACCCTCATCTCCACCTCCACCTTCAACCTCATTATGAGCCATCATCCTCTTCTATGGCATTGTCTGCTTGTTTGGAGTTCCAACACAGCCAATCCGCTTCTCCAATGTTTGAACACAGCCACCATTGAACTAGGAGTGGTTCAAGGAAGAAAACAGTCTAGCTCATTATGCACCTTTTCATTTTGTTGATTTGATTCGTTGGATTTAGGTTGAATTTGATTTCTGATTTTGTATTTGCATCTCCTTCTGATTCTATTGATGAAGATGAAAGCACTGGTGAGGAAGAAGGGAGATGACTGAAGGAGGACTGGGGAAATATTTTTCAGGATTGAGGCATTTTTCTATTTTTACTTCTATTTATATCTAATTAAAAATTCTAAAAAAATTCCAATATCATAACAAACTTGTTCACAATGATCATCATTTCATTCCATTCTATTACCATTCTTTCTATAAATAAAACTGGCCCTAAGGTGAACAAAATTTTAGCAGTCAACATACCTCTGGTTCTATTGAATCATTTGTAGTGTCATAAATAATGGACCGAGCCAAGGCAACCCGTTTTTTCATCCCACCAGACAACTCCGAAGGCAGCCGATCCTCAACACCCTGTAAAACAAAATGGTCGGACAAATTAGTCTACATGCTAAAGACAGAAATGTCAATGCAGCAATGGTCAAAGAAAAATGAAGGAGAGTGAATTACGTAGTCTAGTAACATGTCTGAAAACCCTTTTAATTTTCAGAAATTGCAATTTTCTTAACACTGTTACATAACAATTCAATGCCTAGATCACGTAATGGTTGCAACAAGTATCGACACATGTAATTTGACATGTTCAGATGGGGGAAAAAACAATATGCCTATAATCGGACAGAAAATTGCATGAAGTACACCTTTAATCCAACAGCCGCCAAGCTTTCCTTGACAAGCTCTGAAATTTGATCCTCGGACATGCTTGAGTGTTCGTACCTGATCAATAACAAAGCTGGGGCTATTAAATAAAAGAATATGCAACAACAGCAAAATAAATTAAATTTTTAAATTTTGTCACCCCAAATATTAGGACCAAATCTTACAAGAGAAAACCAACATTTTCACGTACAGTCAAAGAATCAAAAAGAGCTGCACTTTGGAACACCTGCAGACAAACAAATAAAACCACAATGAAAAATTACTAGCAGTGAAGAATAAGCATAATGCATATAACACTAAAACTTACTAGTCCAATCCGAAGACCAGATATCTCTTCATCGCTTATCAAACCAGCCCTCTTTTTACCTCTAATGTAAACCTCTCCCTTCTCATTCAACAGATATAATATGCAAGAAATAAAGTAGAATTTGTTTAGAAACAATTTGGTTTAAATTAATGTCACTAACCCAATCTGAATGTAACTGCATGGTTACCTTGTCCGGAGCAAGCAATCCTGCGATAATCTTCAAGACAGTAGATTTGCCAGTCCCAGAGGGACCGATTATTCCAACAGCTTCCCCGTGTCTGATCTATTCATAGTCGAAAAGATGAAATGAGGTCAAATATTCAGCAAGCTCCCTAAAGCGCATAATGATATCCGTAAGACCTCCTTTTTGAACAGAATAGCAGTCATGCTGATTATCGCACCTTGCCAATATTTTTTCCTTTTTTCCTAATTTCATACAAGCATGCCCAGAATATACAAATAAAAAAAGAAACAAAATCAATGGAAGGATAATTACCTTGAAGCTCACACCATTTAGGATTTTCTTTTCCCCAAAAGACTTGTAGACTTCTTTGCACTCAATAAGAACATCAGAATCGTCCTGAAGATCCCCTATTGTGTTTAAGTGTTCTGATTCAGAAGAACCCTACAGATATACTTGTTATCAGCTAACCAAAAAAGAGAATAAAAGGTAAATTTCTCATAAACCAGGGATATTCAACTCCCAGAAGCTAAGATACGATAAAACTAAGGGAAAACGAGTGATCATCAAAATAGAGACACAGGTGGGTGTATTACAGGATAAATTCCTGTATTGCAGCACTTGCACAGGGAATCAAATGGCTCAAATTAGGTA